TAATTAGTACAAATTACTTACCTAACCAAGTGCCTCGCCTACCCGGACCGAGTTTCGGGTTCTGCCCCCGAGGATGGACTCTCCGCATCCTATCTAGGCTTACAGCAATAGACTCTATTACCAGTTCACAAGATCTCTTTGCTTACGAAATCATTCATTAATATTTTGAAATCATTAATACGATCCCACAAACTACTCAAGCCGCGGGCCCCATGACTGGATAAGCCAAGAGGTTCCATGACTAAACAAGCCATGGTTTTCAAAGCGTTTTCTTTCACAAATCAATCCCTTTCTTTAAAACATTTTCAAAGCCAAAATCCTTTTTGAAAACAGGCTCACAAGGAAAAGGGATAGAAATCCTACCTCGCACTATCAAACCTGGGACTAGCGTTGCCTTTTCCGGCTTCCACTTTCTCAAGCCCCTTGAGTCTGAATCCTCTGCGATCACTGATGCAAAACAACACTTTAGGATTAATTCTCATTCCTAAAGTAATCCAAATCTTAATTTCCAACCAAGATTTGCTATTAGTGTGCCTTAATCCATTTTCATGTTTCAAATTATCATTCCAAGGGTTTTTCAATCCCAAATCAAGGATTAAATATGCTAATCCATTCATCTCAAGTCCCCAAATGAAGCTAATTTGGGTTCTCCTGAAAACAGGGGTCAAAACAGCATTTTCAGGCCAAACAGGGTCAAACCCCGTGTCAACCGGTCGACCGGTGACAGAGCAGTGCAACACTACCGGTCGACCGGTAGTGTGCACACCGGTCGACCGGTCAGCCTGCAATCCAGTCGACCGCATAGGTTGACCGGTTTCCATATGATCCGATCGACCGAACAGGTCGACCGGTGGAATCAGCTGCGCGAGAGAAGCTCGCGGAAATTAGTCCAAAACCTGCAAATCCAGTCCCAAATCAAGATATTTCAAAGGAAAACCACTAGATATGGGTTCGAGGTCCTAAAACAAGTCCAAAGAACCCAAGATCTCCAATTTCTACCCTAGTTTTACTCAAAAACCATCAAAATCCGGTTTGAACCAAAAATAAGTTTTGAAATTCAAAAACTTGAGATTCAAGAGAGGTTCTTTCAGTAATCTTACCTCGAATCCTTCTCTTAACGTTGAAAACTTCTTTAAATCCTTCCTTGGTTCAAGATCCGTTTGATTTGGGACAAAAATGAGAGAGAGTGAGAGAGAGTACGGGAGAGTGAGAGAGAGAGTGAGGGAGAGAGAGACGCGCGGGAAAGGAAGAGAAAAAGAAAAGAAAAGGAAAAAGGAAAAAGAAAAGAAAAGGAAAAGGAAAGGAAAAGGACATGTGTACAATATTTTAAAAGAACAGTCCAGAAATGCGCTCATACACACTTCTGGGTTAAAATAAATTACTGAGAATAATTTAAATACCTTGGAACTATTTAAACTCACACGTGTCAGAAACATTTATTAATTAAACTCAATTAATAATCCAGATTAGGCACACTAATAATCTCAATTACCTTAATTAATCTCAATTAATTCTTCAGGTGTTACCGTAATAGTTTTTCAAAAACGCTATTAGGGGGCGTTTGGTATGCAGTAATCTTAAGGATGGGCATGAGAATCTGTAATATTACCATGTTTGGTACAAGAACTATAATATTTAGATTCTCAGGAAAGTGATTACCATGGGATTCACTTTCCCTCATTTTAATGTAATCTAAATACCACCCAAATTATTATAATTATATTTACTATTATTAATATTATTAATATTAATAATATTATTATTTTATTATTATTATATTAATATTAATATTATTTTAATAGTAATATATTATTATATTAATATTATTATTATGGATATTCTTTCATGCGAATAACCAAACACAATAATGTAATATTCTTGAGAATTTGAAAAAAGATTCATGTATGGAACCAAACACAGTAATGTATTATTACTAGGAATCATATTACCCTCTAACACTTTCCTGGGAATATGATTCCTACTAATTCCCGCATACCAAACGCCCCCTTATAGGCTAATAGTTTTAGCTCATGTTATCAATGAGTTTTATTATTGTAGTGTTATAAATGAAAATTCTTGTGACACCATACTTAACAAATATAAAAATAACTTGTAAACTGCTAGAGTATTGTACTATGTATAATATATATTGATAAATTACGTACATGTCAAAAATTTGTGACATTATGGGTGCGTTTAGAATTCGTTTCAAAATGATTTTATTTTTTATATGAAAATGGAAATAAAAACGTTTTCAATCTCAGATAGAAATCATTTTTAAAAATGTATTTAGTAGTTTTATTAAAAGATTGTTTTCAGTATAAAAAAATTTATTAATATATCTCTCTCTACTCGAGAGAGGAGAAAACGAAAATAAAAAATGAAAAACGATTAAAAGTCATTTTTCATTTCTCTCACATTTTACACTAAACCAAAAAAATCGTTTTCATTTCCGTTTTTTATTTTTAATTGTGTCAAACGCTGTTTTTTTCCCGTTTTCATTTTTCTTTCTCGAAAAATATGAAAAACAAAAACCAAAACAACTCCAAACACAGTCTATATTCTTACGTAGGTACTATTATCTTATTTGATCAATTTGTTTATATTTTGCAGCACCACAGGGTTACCACCCTTGTTGCCAAGTACACCGGGAAGCCACTATCTGAAATTGAGAACTTAACAACCCTCCCTAAGTCTTCCTTAGGTCTATCAGTACCTTTAAGAAGTTTCCTAAACAACCGTGTGGCAATGAAAATAAGAAACAATCAGGAATTCCCTAATCACCAAATGAATGGAACCATCGATATGGAAAGAGCCCTTATAGTGGAGACTGCGGCAAGTGCTGTGGATGAGGTAACCAAGCTTTTGCAGATAGATGAGCCTCTCTGGATCAAGTCCGCCTCTGAGGGCCGGTGCATTCTTCACCGCGGCAGCTATGAGAAGATATTCCTGACGAGAGCCAATTTTAATATAAGAAGCTTTACCAATGGTGCTCGTTTCGAGTCTTCCAAGCATTCCGGGATCGTCACCATGAGTGCCATGCACTTAGTTGACGCGTTTCTAGATTCGGTACGTATTCTCAATAAGCTATGGGAAATTCTGTGGTAGAATATACTTGTCAGTCGTAAATATTTTTGAACGTTAAACTAAATATAGAATCATGGAGCTTCTCTAGTAGGACCAATAAAAAAGAATTGTCGGTAGTTCTTAACTTTTTCAACTGTTAAATCTGCATCAGAAACTGTTCATTTTATATATATTTATTTTAATTTGACGTGCCATATTTAACAGTTAAAAAACTGATTCTATCCATACGTTGGCCTACCGGAAAAACTCCCATAGAATTATACTAAAGTTCTGCAGATATACCTAGCGGAACTTATATAAAAATAAGGGCAGTTGAGAAGCATTCACTACCACATTATTCCTCAAGCGCTAGTTTGCTATATTAGTTCATACATTTATTTTCTTTTTTCTTTAAAAGTCAAATAATTCCGAATTTTTTTGTTCTTTTTTTCAACTGTATCCTGAATTTATTGATATTGCTTAAAAAGCTGTACCAATAGAGATTATTTTCAGCAAAAATATTTACAAGATATATATGATAACTACGTTATATCTTTTTAAGGATAAATGGGGAGATATCTTTCCCACAATTGTTACAAAGGAGAAGACAATTCAAGCACTTGAAAAAGGAGCATTGGAAAACAGACACGGTTCCTTGCATATGGTAATTGCATAAAAAGCAAAAATATTTGTTTGATTAATATATTGATGTTGGGATAAATATTAACAGTTTAGTTTTGCACATGTAATAAAATTTGCAGATGTATGAAAAAATGCACATCCTTTCACCTCTTGTTCCATCACGGGAGTTCTGCTTTCTCCGCCATTGCCGGCAGATCGAGCATGGCACTTGGGTGATTGCGGATGTTTCTTATGATTTCTCAAAGGAGAGTGTCTTTCCTTCTCGTAGTTGGAGGCTTCCCTCCGGCTGCATGATTGAAGATATGTCAAATGGCTCCTCCAAGGTAATAACTCATCAACAAACCTCGATTTCTTTTCTGTTTTTTTTTTTTTTTTCCTTCCAAAAATAAAGAACTGCATTTAGAAATAAAGGTGACATACGTACTACAATATAAGCGAGATAATGCAAAAAAGGTAAGACATCTTCACACGTGATATGTGCATCAAATGTAAGATCTTATTGAGGAGAACGA